AAACTATAGACCCTAAGCCCTAAACCTTGTATAGCCTGGTGATGCTGGTGGTACTCCACTGGTTGAGTCTAGGGCTGAGCCTGACTGGACACCTGCACAATCTTTGCCGTGAAAGCACTGCTGTGCGATGCGCGTGTCTAAACCCTGTATATCCATTATGGCAGTTTAACTTAAGTTCCTTAGCAGCAACCCAGGAAAGTGCCATGCCTGCGCCTGACGCGAGTGTCTCCTGGAGGACGGAGTTATACCTTAAACAGTAAAAACTAAACCCTAAGCCCTAAACCCTCTAAACCCTGCGCAAGGCGCAATTCCATAGTTCAGGAAGTCACAACTTAGGGTTTAGGGTTCTGGCAGTCCATGGAGCCCAGATGAAAAAGGGTTTCGGATTTGGGATTTAGGGTTTAGGGTTAATCGGTATGGGGGGTTCCCCAGAAAGGGGGGCCTGGAAGATAGGGTCCCATTGAAGACGTTTTCAAAATGGACTTGCGCCTTCACACGCAAGAATCCTGCGCTGGATGCAGGACTCATTCCGAACCACAACGAGCAGTTCCCTGGCAGCATAAGAGCCATAATCTAAACTCAATGGGGTTATTTAGGACATGATATAGGGGATTACTCTAGGGGTCATTAAGGGAGATACTTGGATTTTAGATTATGCCTCATACAGTTATTCCCCTCCCCCAAACTAACATTACCTTGGAGATTCGGAATGTGAAACTAAGGCCAGGAAACTGCAATGGGCGGATATGTTTGAGGATGACGACTAGGGAAAAAGTGCGAGCTGACAGTTTTTCTGCAGAGCATCAATCCGTTAGCGTTGCCAATTCCAAGTTCCCTTGCAACATTTTCAGGGATTGAATCTCAGCATTTCTGCGATTCCGCCAGGAACATTTTGTTGGCTACAAGGCCAACAGTTGCATGGTGAGCTGAAGATGCCACAGCCCCACCATGTCAAGACTACATGAGGAACTGAGTGGATTTTTTGCGTGGGGCACAGACTGATGTCCTGTTCGGATCTTCCCATTTCCTTTTGTTGTGAGGATACTTTTTTGGGGAGTGTAAAGGGGGAATTCCTGAGTCTGGAAATACCCAGACAGCATCTGAAGGCGCCGCGAGTAAATGCGGGTGCTGGTCATGTTGCCCTGGCAGTCAGCGTCACAAGAATGCAACGGTACCCTCCCCAGACTCGACTTGCGGGGGCCCCACATAGTCCCCTTTTACAGCCCTTCTTGTTGAGTTCCATGTTACTGTGGGGGTGGGTAGGGCAGGGCCTTGGAACGATTTGTATTGCCAAAATGCGGGTTGGGACGATGCCTCAGACTCCGAGTTTGTGTTGAGGACTGATGATTACGGAGGCACCTCTTTTGTCCCTAATCAGGATGGCACGTTACAGGGTTGCTGTAACGGGGCATATAGTAAAAAGACACGGCTTCCTGACCATGTTAAGTGAAATGATTAGCTGATTTGCAGCAACCCAAACTTTCGGATGCCTTGGCCCAAGCTTGGCGCGGGGAAGGAGGGCCTTGAAAGTGCGCCAAGGGCTCAGCGGGGCAGTTTGTTTGCCTTAGACTATGGCGTCAAGTGCTGTCGTATCGATCTGTCAGCTTACGAGCGAACATCATGACCTGCAGGTCACGGCTTGAGCACAGGCAACGGGCAGTGCTAGGCCCTGGCCACAGAGGTTGTATGCTATGCAAGGTCAGTGCAACATCCACGTCTTTTCTTCCTTTAGTCATTTGGCTCGAGCCCTGCGTAACACTAGTCAGCAGCATGTGAGGTTCAGGCAGCAAGTGCGCTGCAAGTGCCGCTGCATGATGTGAAGCACTTGGCTGCGCTGAGAGCTGCGTCGGTTGCGCCACTGTCGCACACATGGAGTTGGACGAATGTCCATGTTTCGATGCCACGTTCTGGCCTTGATCTACGCGATGCTGATGCTCTGAAGGGTACCTCGGATGTGGAAGTTCTTGAAGCATTGAAGAGAATATATGAGCAACCGTCAATACTCGTTTATAAGGAATTTAAGAGCTGCTGGACATGGAAGGCCAAAACCCTGTAAAGCGACGGGAACATTAAGAAGCGACACCCCCAATAGATGAGCGAAAGAGGGCCTCATGGCATGCTGGGTAAAGTCATGTCCATTTCTCTCATTTCATATAGGGGCACACATTCAAAGAGAGAGTTGTTAGTAGCTACTG